TAATGAAACCTTGTAGAAGTTCACTTATAGGAGTGTGCTTAAATACAGATATAGGGTTGATATTTGGAAGGGAGCTGTACAGTGAGTTCTATGTATCAACTATCCTTTAGCAAGTTTTGTAAATAATGAATTCATAACGACTGATCCCGAGTAAGACAAAATGGACACTTCACCGTGGGAACAGTCCTCGAGTTATTTGTTGTATGGTACAATGGAGAAATTAGAGAAGGCGATGCGAAAACAAATCGAACATTTGGATAGCCCAACTAAAAGTGCGTAAGAACCCAAAATACTATGCCACAAAGCCAAAGTCATGCCCAGTTTAACATCACCCTCAATCCCGCTCTGTTCAAGTGTAACGGCGGTTGTCGGTAAACACGAACGGGAAACATTCCATTGTTGCCTGCTGATGTCATAGCTCTTGTAATGTTGTTCGTTCAGATTAAAAAATCAAGAAGGGCAGCAGTTTTACCGTTGGTTGTCATGTGACCGCAAAGTAACCAATGAAAGCGCGCTGTTAAGCAAAATTCCAGCTATATAACAATATCAGATTTTGGTAAATTAGAGGGAATGTAAGACTCTGATTTGTACCAGGTTGAAATAGATCTAGATGTAATATTATACTGCTTGGGTTAGATTGAGCAGTTAGGGCGATTTTAAGTTAACTGTACGATGTGGAAGGCTTCAAGTTCGAGATAAAGTTAATAGACAACAATAGTTATCTGCTTTATTTGTCCCTATCTGATATTGTAGATAAGTATTAGTGATAAAGTCAATATGTAAGCTCAAAATGAGGAACGTGTCCCATCAGTTTTCAACTTAGACTATGGATGTTGTGATAAAGCTTGTTTGTAGAATACAATGATGACAATTTTCTTTTCGTCTCTATTAGTCATTAATCTTGGCCTTATAAACATCCACTGAATACAGAGGCGCAAGTAAAAAGATTACTTCCTCAGGTTACCAAATATTTCCTGCATTGTCAAAGGAGTAATGATTCATACGTTGTCTTCATACCTCACAGCATGAAATCTCTGCTTTCCGGGACAAAGACCGTAGCCTGCTCTGATTTAACAGGTCTAGAAATTTTAATTAAAAAGGGATCATCGTTACGAATACATAATTTTTCAGATTTTCTTTGTGCAGCCTTTTACCAAGTGCAATTCCAGCAACAAGGAGCTGTAAAATTTTGGTCAAATAATTAGCCATGGCCTTCTATTTACACAAATCGAAAACCAGAACTTCAGTTTCAATCAGGAGAGTTCCTTGGAATAGCTCACCCTTGATTTATCGATATTCCAAAATTTTTCTTAGGTTTCCAAAGAAACTCACTTTTGTTTTGTTCCGTTTCTTTTTTCAGCATTAAAAGTTTGTTTTGGGCATGAGAGATTAATGGACATCAAATGATTGATTAATAACTTTCTTTTTTTTTGTTTTTTTTTTTTTGCGATGACGGTATAATGACATATTTTTATTCTAACAGCTTCTCTACAGATCTCAAATGAAAACTCACTTAGAACTTGACATCTTATCCAATTTTAAGGGGGAAAGGGTTAATAGAAGTTTCGTCTTATTTTAAGTTCGTCTCATTTTAAGTTTCTCTTCGCCCCCATCAAGATGAAGTGGCGAGCTTTGTAATCGTACAACAACAGATAAACCGTGCAAGTGTAATAAACACATGAAAAGGTACTAACAGAACTGATGGTTACTAACTCCAACACCCCGAATAGCTGCGAAACATCACGAAACTTTATATGTCCAACGAAGGTAAATTGGAAGGCCTTTCGTGAAAGGAGAGCGAAACAATGAAGAAAATGTATGAATCACCTACTTGCGCCTACGTTTTTCTATTTAAACGTAAGCCAGTTGTTGTAGCTATTTGCCAGCGGATGGATTTTGTAGAAGAGGGTTCTATATAGTATGCGGTTTCTATAACCCTTATCGAATATGCTCTGATAAATGGCTAATTTTAGATGTCCTTCAACGTAAAGGCTGATCTTAAGGTAGAAGTATGCAATTAAACATTCTCCTTACTTTAACTTATTTTGCAACAAAGCGCTCGACTTCGTAAACGCCCATTGCAGCTGGCCTTGCCTTCGAACAAAGACAGGCAGGATCGTAAATAAATACTCAAGTTGCCTAAGAGCCTGGCTGATATCTTGCGCGCTTAAAAATAGAACAAACAAACAAACAAACAAGCAAGCAAACAACTGCTAGGTTGGGCATTGGGCTTACAAATAGTCCAAAAAAGCCGAGTGCCGGGTACCGCAAACCTAATTATAGCATTCCATGTTTGTTTAAAAATGCAAGGTAATTCTTAAAGTATATCAGAGGAAAAATTTTCCCACATCGTGTACACGCTAAAAATCAAGTAATTTCAAAATTAGTGATTTCATAGTGCGCTCAAATTATGACATTTCTACAAGTAATAAACCGACATAATTTTGGGGATCTCTTGAATTGCTATTTTGCGAAATCGACTACAGTAGAACTTCGATTTAACGAAGTGCCAAGGGTCTGGGGAAATTGGTTCATTATATCGAGGGTTCGCTATATCGAGGTTCTGTGGCATACATTTTACTGTAACTTAAGCCGGGCTGGAACTGAACTATCGTTCGTTATACCGAGGACTTCGTTATATGGAGGCTCGTTAATCGAGGTTCGACTGTATTTTTACTTAGCGGGCGGTAACGATGTTGCCATCCTCGTGTCACACAATATGTCTTTGGTAGATATTAACCCTACCTACTAGGGTTTTGGCCTGCCCTTATTAGTGCGTTAAATTAAGATCTACCGATAACCTTGTATACGCCCAGGAGGCCAAAATCCTTGACAATAAACTAATTTGAAATTTGTAATATTTAAATGTATTTTGTGACATGAAAAAGGTCACTATGTCACCGCAGGGTGAAAATAGCCGATTTCGCAAAATAGTAATTCTTCTTAAGTTACTACTTTGCGAAATGAATTAAAATCCATATTATTAATTAACGATTAACGATTACTCCAAAAATTCATGTGAATGTTATTTTTACCTTATTCGAAAATATATTGGTATCATCCATATTGTTTCGTTAGACCTCGTCTGGTTTCGTTTTATTTCGCAAAATAGTATAAGCCGACCAAAGCCGATTTTCAACACCGTGCACTCTTCGCAAATATTAAATATAGTTTAATATTCCATATATTTCCTAAATATCAAATAGAGTTTAAGTATATCTTGTCTTTCTAAGTCTGTTATGAGTTCACTGATTACAAAAAAACAAACAAACAAAAAAAAATCTCAGTGGCATTTAATACGTTACTGGCAAATAATCAAGACAAACACCTTTGCAACAAATATCCTTCGTTATGCAGGCGCCCATATTCACTATCATATCGATTGGACACGATAGAAATAATATGACAATATTTTCTGTCTTCCAACCAACTGATCGACGTTATAAGGCTTTCAAAAGAAAACGAAAGTTTTAATGTAGCTCTATTTATATTGAAGTAATTTCTAATGTAACCACTTTATGACTGAGGTGATTTTCGGGCGCGTGTAGCAAATAACAAAGCTCTGCTTCTCACAAGCCGCTACATTCAAACACTGTAGAATGAAAAATATTGCTAATTCTTTGCATTAAAGATAAAAACACCATTACAAATTAAAGGTAAATGCTAAAAAAGCAAAATTTAATTCATAACAATTAACTTCAGACGTTAGTCTGAGTTAGTTTGGCAATGAAATGTTTCTAATCAATTTTGTCGGTGTTTATGCGTTCGAAAAATGATCTTCAAGTCTACCATTTCTAACGTGTTGCACGCTTACTGGGGCTGTTCTTAGTTTCAAATGATTTGTGTTCAATTAGAGACCGAATCTGGATTCCTAAAACTGCAAAAATAATTCGTTTCATTCCGAGCTAGTACTGTCACATGAATCCGTCCCGGGCACTAGGGTCTTCTTTAATAAAGTAACTATCACTTCAGAGCTAGGATTTTTTTGATGAAAAAAACATTTGCCTTTCAAATTGAGTCGGTGTCGGCCTAGTACATTTAAGTTCTTGTTTTTCGTAGGTTTTTCTTGATAGTTGCAAGAGAACCACTCGCGATTTCCAAGACGTGAGCGACTGAGCGGGTTGACGTTTCTTTTTAAAACTTTCTCTCTTGACTTTCTCTCTCTTTCTCCTCAACAGAGGTATCTCCCTCCCCTGAAGACAAGCCATGTTTCGTTTGAAACATAAATGGATGCTCTACACCCTTTCGGCTTGATTAAAATCCAAGTCAAGAATTTTATCAGTAGCGGCTCTCTTCGCCGCTGTTTCCTTGCTTACAACTAGTATGTTTGACTATTGTTACGTCATAGTTTCGTCATGACAAAGATGGCGGATTTCAATTTGAAAATGCCAATTTTTGGAATGTAATCGTTCGCAACTAAAACGCTTGAGCCAGTTAGGACGATACAAGAAAGGAACTTTTGATATAAGTTAACTTTTTCTAGACCATACTTTCCCTTTAATGACAAGTATCATCGTGAGGGGATGGTAGCCTTCTATGTTAATAAAGTACGTTGAGCCAAAGCTTGGATTACGGAACATGTAAAAACTTAATTCGTGCCAGCTCTAACTATACTTCTTTGGTCTCAGGCTTGAGACGCAATGTAAGCCTCGCTGAAGGAAGTTGTAAAGGATAAACAATGTCGAGATTCTGTAACATGATTTGTAACCATGATATAGAATTTCTTGTTCCAGCACTAACGCCACCGAGTAAACTTAAGGAAGTGCTTATAAAAGAAATCTTCTGCTCAGGGTTGTTTTCTTGAAAAGTTGAAGTTTTAACATATACTCCACGATCTAGGGTCACAAGCAATGGAGTTGCAGAGTCAAGCTATCGCAAACTAAAAATGATAAATTTACTCTGCAGTTGTAACTGACTCAAAAATTAGAGAGAAATGATAAGTCCACTTCACCAGCTTTAAGGAAGTTGCCTCAGTTAAATATACAGAAATAATGGAGGTCATTTGAGCTTCAGCAATACAGTCGTGCGCATGGACCAAATAGATATCAGCTCTAAGGGAAGAAGTTGCGGAACCCCACGTGACATCAAGCAAATTTAAACGAGGGATCGGCCTGTTGGTAGTCAGACTTTATTCAGGACGATATGGAGACGACTGAATTGCTTCTACGTTTTGCCGTTGTGTTGGTTTTCCTAAAGATGACTCTGGTGCCCGGTGGTAAGTTAAGCGCCTTTGTGAGCCAAAATGAAACGTACAGCTTTCAATAGGAATGGTTTTTATTTTCATTTTTTTTTCACTGATCAGCTTTTACCTCTACCAGATATATTTAGTAGGCCTCCTGTTAATAAAATTTATCGCTGAAGGAAGTTTTACTTTCAATTACGGCACGCATTTATCATACGGGTTGATTTGGTATCATAAACTTCCGTAGTAATCCCAATAAAGTTCTACTTGAAGCGCTTGCTCCTGATCAAACCTAGTAAATGACTTTTTTTGTTAAGAAAATATCAAAAGCTCTTCTATCAAATGTGCACTGGCACGATCAACGTATACTTACGTGATTCAATGCCAATTGTAAACAAAAAAAATGACAAAGAGGTCAACATGGAATTATTAGCTTATGTTCAAATTAGATTCCATCCCGTCAATTTGTGTCTGGGTAAATTTTGATTTTTCACGTACCGACGCACGCACTGACAGCCCTAATGTTTATTCACGAGTATCTAGTGCTCAGATTGGAATCATTGTAGCATAGCAACCTGAGACAATTCGATTGGCTCCTAAAAAATGAAGGCATAATTTTGTCTTTTATCCCTTGACAGCATCGAGTGTAAAGGCTGGAAAGGATAACGTGACAACCAACAAACCAGGCCTGTTTGGGTGTAAAAAGATAAACTTCCAACACCCCTTCTCTCATGGACCGCAAGTCAAGGTATTTGCCTCATTTGGACATACTACAGAAAGTCCAGGTCACCGTTATGGTGCAGCCGTCTGGGTTGAATCTGTTTCGACGAGAGGATTCACGACCTGCGTGTTAGAATATGGAGACGGATCGAACGGTACATCTGAAATAAACTGGGTTGCTTTGCAATCTGTGCCAACAGGATCTCAGTTAGAAACCGTCCACTTAAAAGCTTGGACCACCGGAACGAATTGTAGGACAATCACCTTTAAAGAGGTTGGACAAATGATGTTTGCTTATTTTTTCTACAACTACGGCCCTTCTTTCTCTCCGCCTTACATCCTACTTCCAGGAAATGTAGGAAAGACACATATCAGATGTCAACGACCCATTTTGTAGTCCAAGAGTAGTTTATCCATGTTATCAGGCTCGAATCCCATTTTAGTATGTGGGTTTTAACAAAGGGATTTAATATATATCTTGATCCGTTTAAGTCATATCAACAGTAAGCATAGGTCTGGTTCATATGTTGGCTGTGTGTTAAATTTCCTTTATTCACAGGTAAAGAAGTGTAAAAATGTCTTTCATAACTTTTAGCGTTTCAAGACCTCACCAACCATTTTAGTTACTGTCAGTCATGAAGTTTTAAGAAGACCTCAGGATGCCATGGCTGTGTGGGTAGAGGACTTGAACAAGGACAATTTCAAAGTTTGTCTCCGAGAAACCAAGCTTCTCGATGGAACACACAAGAACGTGAAAATAGTAAGTACATGATTGAATTTTTTCTTTTCCCATTCCTACAGAAAAATTCTTTGGGAGTCTTGATATGGATAAGAAGACTGATGAACAGATATACGGGTGGACGCATGTGTGGGTGGGCGGATAGGTGAGAGTTATTGCGTGACCAACTGGATGATTGAATGACTAATTGATTAATTTATTGACTCGTTTGTTCATCCATTCATTAACACATTCACTAGTTGACCAATTTTAAAAGTTGCCTCTATTGGCAGCAATGACGCAATCTCATCGGCCAATTTGGCTTTGCGGATAAGAGTACAGACAATTCTGCTCTCGTCGACGTGTCACGCAATGTATCACGCACTGAAAGAATCGTTTTATATGACGTCGATATTGTCGATATATTCCAAGTGATAATAAGAATTGCATTGGTTTTTCAGTGGTCAAGCTAGCTTGAACGTACCGTACTAAAGCACATAAACATTTTATACGTAGCTTGGAAGGTTACGTTGGTTCTGTCGAATGCTTCATTTGTCTTCGAGAACAATCTAGCGAGACAGTAAGGGTCATCTACGTCAGGAGAGACTCAAATTCAGTTAATATGGATGTAAATATTCCACAAGGTCCTCAGATAAACCGATTAAGAAAATCCGACAACTGGGCAGCGCTGCGAAAAAAGTTTTCTTAGCAGAAATGTCTCAACATGTGTCGTCTTCGCATCATGAAGCTAAAAGGAAATATTTTTTTTTGTTTCAAGAGAGAGCATTTTACTGTTAAAATCTGTAATTATGTAGATCCGAAGACATAATCTTTTCAGTTTTTGCCGTGACATTACAAAAGACGAAAAACATCTAAAGATAATTTCACAGTGGCATCCACCGACGCCTGATTTATATCAAAACTTGTCCTGTCTAAATATCTCAATAGATGTCATCTGCACACCATGTAAGTTATAAGGAAATTTTTTTTCTTTCAAAAAAAGAGCGTTTCATTTTTTGACTCAGAGACTTATGCCGAAAAGAACGTTAACGGTGGATCGGTAGAAGGGCGGGATACCTCAAGATGCGGAATGCCTTTTTAGTATGAAATAAAAGTCTCAAAAAAATGAAATGACAGGAAAACAAGAAATCAATTTCAATTAACAGCGAGGATCGTACATCATACGTATCTATAACCGCAGTTCAAAATACATGAACTTCATGTATTCATTGTATCCGATTAGCATCATTGTTACCTTTTAATTACTGGTTGCATGTCAATGTCGATATACGTTTGAATCATCTTTCTCTTGTGGGACAGTGTACTCATAAGTATGTGGGATGTAACAGTTTTCTGTTTTGCCTGTGAGACAAATGTTATGTAACACTACCCCCTTACTTCATTACACAACCTCGCGTTCTTTTCAATCCTATAAATTTTATGTTATACAAGTAGCCACATGCAGTCTTCGACTGTCTGTTTAAACATATTTTCTTCCCACGTTATCCATCACACAGTTTTCTCATTTTACAATTGAATTCAAATTTTACAGAACTGGATGGCTTTTACTACACTGAAGGTTGAGAACGTTACCTTTTCAAAGAGTGTGGTGCTCAATAATGCAAGCTTGCAAAAACATCATGATAACCACGCTTATTGCCAAGTAAGGTTTAACTAGCAAATGAAAAGCAATATCTTGAACAGTAACGCTGGGATGGATATTAAAAAAAAATACAGTGACAACTTCATCAACAACTGTTGAACAAGTTTGTTTATTATGAAAATCATTATCGTCAAAACTACTAAGATAATTAATTCGACTTGATATTTAACAACGCCAACACAACAGCCCCGTTTAGGAAAAAAAAAAAGGAGAAGAAAGAAAGTTTGTAAACAAGAATTTTGGAGAAGGTGCAGAAACGATACATTCTTCTGAATAAAGGCTGAAAGTTTCTAAAGAAACAGTGGCGCTGCGTCGGTGGGGGTAAAAAGGTAATTGTTATATCAACTAAGTTGAAATTGTAAATTGGCCACCGTAACGAATAAAAAAGCTAACGTTTCGAGCGTTAGCCCTTCGTCAGAGCGAATGACGAAGGGCTAACGCTCGAAACGTCAGCTATTTTATTCGTTACGGTGGCCAATTTACAATTTCAACTTAGTTGATTTAACCAATTATATTTCTTCTGAGTCTGCTCAACAGCTCGTTTAATGTAGAAATATGCATCCTTATGGCTTATTTGCACTCGATGTTATCAATGGTTCAGTACACAATCCTGGGTAACATACGCATAGAGCTAGCTTCTGGGGTGTTTCTAAGAATTGTTTGTTTTGTTTGGTTTTGCTTTGATTAGTATCAAAATCCTGACCAACCCCTAAAAGTTTGTTTCAGCCCACCAGTCATTTATTAACAGACTTTATTTGTCATATCAATTTCAGACTATAAACTTCACCGATCAGTTTTACGCTCCTCCAGTTGTAGTAGTGACGCCCAAACAGGGTTACAAGAATAACTACTCAGGTGTTCCTCGGTCTCAGTGTAATGCCGTGACGGCATGGGTCGAGGTGAGGTTTTAGTATTATAAAAAATGTTTGTGGCCCAGTCAAGACACTGCACACTTTTTATTTTTATTTTTATTTTTTTTTCTTCCTGTCTTGATTATAGTACACGTCCACTGAAGATACGAAAGTATGTGCGAGAAGCTACGACAGCGATGCTCATAGCGATGATATCATACGAGTTGATTATGTTGTTGTTGGAGGTTGGTGTGAATAGAAAGACAAAACCATAGGAAAAATGCAATTTCAGAACATGTAGAAATAGCTCTACCATTTAAATTTCCATTGGTACAAAAGCCCTTTGTGACTAATACTATTTAGTCTCTGTATCGTGACAACTGTTTCAACGCCAGAGTGGTGGTCTCGTTGTTGTGCTGGACTGAACGGGTTAAGAAATAGAAATTCGATCCCCAACTGTGACCTAAGTTTCGGTCACGATCTTTATTCCTCATAATACTATTATCCTAAGGTTTCTTCACAGTAAGGTTCAACTCAACGGATTATAACAGAATAATAGAAATGTTTCCTCCTGTTTTCATACTTACCAGACCTGGACCCCTGTCTGAACATAACGTGTTATTTCCATGGGTTATGCAAGGCTTTTGGACCCCATGATGCTCGCTGCGTATGTATAGACCGCTGCCCTTCCTACCATGAGCCCATCTGCTCATCCAACGGAACAACCTACGACAATAAGTGTTTGTTTGAACAGGAAATGTGTCGCATGCGGCTCAACTTTACAGTGCAACATCCGGGTAGTTGTGAAGGTAAGGCGCATTTTCTATTTCTCACGTTAGTGATTGCCGATGGTGGCCAAATCTAGAGGAATCCTGCAAAATTAAACGTCCATCTGTTCACAACAACATAAATTGCATGTCGTGGTTATTGTTTTTTCACTTTTCTTCTATAGTTTGGCCTAAAATTAGAACTGATGTCATTATCGTTGTCATTTTATTCCACCACCACTGTCATTGTCATTGTCGTTATCACTGTCATTGCCATTTTCATTGCCATTGCCATCGCCATTGTCATTGTCATTGTCATTCTCATCTTCATCGTCATCGTCATCGTCATTGTCCCTGCTATTTGGATAAAACTCTCTTTGTTATCGTTGTTATCATTATCATTGTCAATGTAATTGCATATCACTGCAATCGTTGCTGTCGTCGTCATTCATTGTCATTGTCAATGTCATTTCGACTGCCACTGTCATTTTCATCGTCACTAATGCTGTCACTGTCCGTGACACTATACTTGCTATTTTCCATGGTATCGCCTTTGTCCTTACTCCTTGCTGTCATTTCCCGTTTTTTTTTTTTCGCTGTCGCAGGATTCCCTTTTCAGAGAGGTCGCCATCACATGCCCCATATTCCATCTCTTGGATATTCTCACTGCGAGATCATTCGTCTGAGACCATTTGTGTTCTATCCTGACAAACCCATTGAAGTGCAGATAACGGTCAATCATATCGACACCAGCGACAAGTCATATGTTCATGATGCGGCGGTTCCGTGGGTTGAGAACATCAGTACCGATCAATTCACGGCCTGTGTAATGGCGGCAGGCTTCAATGAACGAAAATCGAATGCAAACGTCACATTGGATTGGATGGCGTATCAGGGAGCTCCGGTGGGTGGAGTGGCGGGAGAAGAACAGACATCACAGTGGTGGACTGGAACGACTTGTAAAGCTGTGAATTTTCCATCGGTAAATAAAATTTTTCTTTTTTGTGTCATCTAGTGGAGTCTTTCAGCATCACGGTTGTGTCAAGCTAAAAAAAAGAGCCTGATGTTTGTCCCTGTTTTACGGCTGCAAAAACATACATTAAAACGACATGCTTCGGTAAAAGGTTGCGGTTGAGTTCCAAGAGCTTGACGATGCAATAGTGACGGACCCTACCCCGGTTTGTACAATATCCTTTGCCATCCTTCCTGGTAGGAAAGATAGTTTAATTGCAGACATCCCCTTTCCCTATTTTGTCAGTGTGCAAGTAAATCACTATTTATAATCATGATCAGGGATGAAGAGAGGCCCTGTTAAGCTATGGTCTAGAACCTGAACCAAGTCAGTCGCTAGGACAAAGCTTCTCGTTCTCTCACTAAGAGCTATAGTAAATCATTTTGCCATTGGGTACCCCAAGCAATATATGAACGCATTATTGCCACGCTGAACCCGTTACCTAATAAGCTGAATTATACGTGAATTTTGAATAATACTTCCTTAGTATTGGATATATGTTTTAAATATAATTGCTCCGGTGATTGTAGAGATGCACGCGCTTTGACTGGTCGACAATTGCGTCATAAATCGCAATGATGAAGAAAATTTAATTTGGTAGAGCAAAAAGGATGGTATTACATGTAAGTTTAGAGTAACACTTTTTAAAAGAAATATAGAGGGTTTTTGTTGATTGAAATTAATTGTAGCGGCAAGCGAACATCAAGGCCGAACGAAGCGCCGAGAAAATCGCGACCGGAGAAATACGACCAAGCCAGGGGATACGTTACGGAGACTTATCTTTAATAGATCTCGTAAACTGTAGGCGAATTAAAAAAAAAAAAGGAAACTTATATAATCGATTGTACTCAATTGAAACACGTGGCGACTTAACAGCGTAAACAAATCTAACATAACGAAAAGAACTAATAAATGAACTAAGTGCCACGGCAAACACAAATATACTTATAAAGATGAAAGAGCTTACTCGAAACGAGATAAAGGACAATTATGACTAGAAATAGCCGCTAGACGATACGACGGCGGCGAGTAAATAACACACACACAAAGCATAAAATCAGATCAAGAGAAACGCTACCTTGCATAAATCGGGCAAGCTACAAAGTGAGAACAAACGAATGCAACTTACATATCGGTCCCTATACGTCGGTGGCTTGAAACCAAAACTTAAGAAGTAACCTTAGGACGGACGCCGGACATAACAGTGAACAGTAAAGGAGCGTACGATGCAACAACTAAAGAAAGAAAAACTATCCGAAAGGCTCAAATGGCACAAAGGCCAACTGTAACTGAAATGTCACGCAAACTTCAAGTCACGCAATTAAAGTCGCGCATTTACA